CAGGGGCGGCGACCCCCGGGCTGGGCGGCGCGCGGGGGCGGCGGGGGAGTGGCGCGGCTGCCCTCGCCATGGCCTCCTGGCTTGGGGGCAGCACGGCCCCCGACCCGCTCCTGGTCCTGCTGGTCATCATCTTGTTGGCACGCTTCCTTCTGTGGTCCTGCCTGGGCACCTACATCGATTACAGACTGGGCCGGCGGCAGCCCCGCAAACCCAAGGAGGACTAGGGCCTCCACCGGCCCGTGGCCCGGAGCTCCAGGCACCCCGGAGACCTCCCTCCGGGAGGGTGTGTCCCACAGATCTGTCCTGGGACCCAGGGTGGGGGTGGGACGGGGTGCAGAGCGGGGAGACCACCCCCCGCAGCCCCCTTGCGGGGCAGAGATGGCCCAGCCCCACCAGGACTGTCCTGGCCACCTCCCGCATCCCACGTCAGGGGGTGGAGGGCCCCCCTGCCTGTCTATCCACCAGGTTGTGGGGGTCCCTGTCACAGTGAGTGATCCTGGGGGTGGGTCTCACTTTTAAGACTTTCTCTACTTCCAGTTCTTTATAAATCTGTTTGCAGGAAGAGGCGGGGGATGAGCCAGAGGGGCTGGTCTGGGGGGAGGGCAGTGGTGCAAGGACAGATGTGACCACATCACAGGCCCACCCTACCTCCTAAAGCCACCCTGGACTCTGCCTCCGGCAGGGAGAAGACTGACCGCAGACTGTGCGTTGGTTTCCCCAGAGCAGACCCCTGGGGCGGGGGGTGGGGGGGGTGTCTCAAGACAGACTTGTGACTATGAGTCCAAGTCCAGCTCCAGTTGACCATGGGCAAACTCACTTTCTCCATCTAGGGGAGGGACAGCTGCAGGGGTGAGAGGCTCTGAGGATCCTAGAGCTGTGGGTAACCCATAATTTCTCAAAAGTGATGATCTGGAGGAAGCCGAGGTTCAGTACCTGGCACTGAGTGAGTAGCCAGGGTGGAATGAAGGTCGTTGGAATTAAAAAGGTCTTGCAAGTGCATCCTTACGGGACCCAAGGCCCTCTGCTCCTTTGTGCTTTCAAGGATGTGGCTGAGACATCCCTGAGAAGATGGACAGGCAGGGAAACTCGCCTGGAGCCCAAGAAACCACTGCCCTCTGCGCCCTCATCCCATCACACCCTGAACTAAAGGGGCAGCATGAGGTGGCTCTGTGCTTCTCAATCTGGCGGCAGATTCGAATCACCCAGGAGGTGTTGGCAGTGCCAGTGGCTGAGTCCCCCAGACTGAGAAGCATCGGCTGATTCGAGATGTTCCTGGCAGGCCAGAGCCTGGTGACACCATGAATTCCAAAAGGGTTTGGCTTAGCTGGGAATCTTCGGCGGCCGTTAGAGGTCTGGAGTCACTGGCCCAAGTGAGTGGACGTTCGGGCCCTGGTAGCTGGGAGCCATCCGCCTTGCAGCATCCTGGCAGAAGGGACCACGGCGTGATCCGTCCAGGCCTGTGTGCGTGGCTGTCCTCTGGGCAGTTGTATAGCCAGTGGCTGAGCAGAACTCGTGCCTCTTTGTAAAGACGATTGGTCATGGGGTGTCTGAGGGCTCTAATCACTGGGTTAGGGGAGGGGGTGTTCTTGTTCTCTTTAGGGAAACTGTCATCCAGCTGTCTTTAAAATGATCACGTGTGATTTTGCTGATCTTTCTAAGGAAGGGGAATCATATTTGTTGTCATGAGCATCTACTAGTGGAGGGAAGTTTGCTGGTATTGCCGGGTTTTAAAACAAGTCCCACGGCCTGAGAAACCCCTCCGTCCTGGGTGAAGCAGCTCCTTGGATGGAGGGAGAAGTCCGATGTTCACATGACACACTCCAGTCTGCCCCACTGTTGAGTGAGTGTGACCTGTGTGTAGCCTGCTTGGGACCTGCGTGTCCACATGGGCATGCAGATTTGAGGTCTGCCGTTTGGTACGTGGGGTTTTCCTGGTGGCTCAGTGGTAAAGAACCTGCTTGCCAATTCAGGAGATCCAAGATGTGGGTTTACTCCCTGGGTCAGGAAGATCCCTGGAGGAGGAAATGGCAACCCACTTCAGTATTCTTGCCTGGAGAATTCCATGGACAGAGGAGCCTGGTGGGCTAAAGTCCATAGGGTCGCAAAGAACCAGACACGACTTAGTGACTAAACAATAAGAACAACAGTTTTTGTCCATGAGCTAATATTCCAGAGTTTTTGCTGGAATTGGGGAGGGGACTCACTCTTCTGTTGGGCTTGTCTAGTGGAGGGGTGGAACCATGGGAGGAGACAAGATTCTGCCAGCATTGTCTGAGCCCCTTTCCAGTTTCACTGACCCATAGATTTCTCATCTCTTTTCCTTAAGCCAGTTCACACTGGTTTCTGTTACTTGCAACTGACTAATTAGATGCAAATTTGATGCAATTAGTCATCAGAATTTTGTCAAAATTGCTCATCAGAGTACAAGTCTTGTGTATCGACACATCAACAGTTTACAACCTCCTGACACGGGCCTGACTCAGTGTAAGCACTTGAAACACTGTGGCTGGGTGAATAGGAGGCTGTGCTCTGGTCATACATAGGCAGTGGGTGCATTCAGTGCAAGGAACAGATATAACAAGAGAAGCTTTTTTTTTTTTTTCTTTCTTTCCATTTTTCTTTTACATGAAGCAAGAAGTCTGACATTTGGTAATCCTAGGTTGTAGTATGGCAGTTCCATGATGTCATCAAGAACCTACACCCTTCTGTATTTCTACTCTGCCATCCTTAGGATGTCGCTTTGGTCTTCATGGTTACAAGAAGGCTGCAGCTGCTCCAGGCATCTTGAGTGAGTTCCAGTTAGAGAAAGAAAGGAACGATAGGGAAAGGTATCTATATCAGAGAGGCAAAACTTCCTAGAAACCCTTAGTTTCACGCCATAAACTAGAATTACGGCCCATGGCATCTCTAGATGCTGAGAAATTGTTTCTTGGCCGTTCTTTGTAATTGCAGCCTATATCCAGAACACTGTTTGGGGGTCTTTGTGTGTCTTTAGTGGCATCCTTATGTGCTAGTTTTCCCCTTGATGCCT